AAATCTATACTCAGTCGGTCTAAGTGAAAGATGATTTTCCTGTTTTTGAAATGTTTACTCAGTCGGTGAGAGATGATTTTCCTGTGTTTGGAATCTTTACTCAGTCCGTCTAAGTGAAAGATGATTTTCCCGTGTTTGAAATCTCTACTCAATCCGTCTAAGTGAGAGATGATTTTCCTGTGTTTGAAATCTCTACTCAGTCCGTCTAAGTGAAAGATGATTTTCCTGTGTTTGAAATCTTTACTCAGTCCGTCTAAGTGAAAGATGATTTTTCTGTTTTTGAAATTTTTACTCAGTCCGTCTAAGTAAAAGATGATTTTCCTGTGTTTGAAATCTTTACTCGGTCGATGAAAGATGATTTTCCTGTGTTTGAAATCTTTACTCAGTCGGCGAAAGATGATTTTCCCATGTTTGAAATCTTTACTCCGTTCGTCTAAGTGAAAGATGATTTTCCTGCTAAGAATACAGGTACTTCTTTCCATCCTAAACTTCTTATGTTTCATTTGTATAACCTCTAGAATCTGCTAAGTAAATATGAAGTTTTGGTAAAACTTTATATTCTGTTATTTTCTCGACGTTAACACCAACTAAAGAGAATTCATCAATGAATAGTTAAATGGAAAGTAGAATAATGTAGAATAAAATGAATAATACCTTTTTTTTCCCTCTGCACTTACTCCAGTATTGATCAGAAAGTTCTAAGTTACTTATCTTAAAAGTTTCAACATGAAACGTTTTTCCTGCTTGTTTTCTTTTTATGATTGCTGTAATTTGAAACACTGGAGCAGTAATCCTTGTGTCAAAAGTGATAAATCATAGTGGGACCTCATTTGTTATTTCCTATAAAACAAACATAAATGGCACGTTTTATTATGTATGCCGAGTTGGAAGAATATGGATTAATATGTAGTATCTCAGAAATGTGAGTTGCTTGTGTCGAGAATTTGGAAACCAAGTGTGATGATACCGTTTGTTGTCTTTGGCACGGCGGGTGACCGACTGAGCTGAAATTAAAGGCGATTTGAAGTTCCAACATTGAAGGCACAGTTTAAAAACATTTCACCCAGTCACATGACTCCTGTTTCATGCCTAATTTATTGACATAAATTGGTAATAAAGTTGTTTAATGAAGTTTTCAGAATAATACTGTAAAAAGTTATGACATGTGCACTTTTGACCTGCGTATGGAAAGAATTAGGACAATTTTATAATTATTGTTAAAAAGAATTAGCTGACAAAGTTGCCGAAAGAAATTTGCCTAAAATTTTTCTTATCGTTTTATTTTAGGGGGTACCGGAAAGTAATGTCGTTCTTTTTCCTTATACAGTAAAAGATATTTTTAAAAGTATTTATTTTTCAATTAGTTACATAATCCCCATTATTATTAATGACAATGTACCATCTTTTAATCAAGCTTCCAATTTCTCATTGATTGAAGGAAGCTCCCTTAGAGACAGGAATTTCGTGAGAGTAGTTTTGATAGCATCAATATTTCTGAAGGTTTTATCCTGAGAAAGTGCTGTATAAATGGTAATCTGGAGGGACAATGTAAGGAGGGTGAGGCAGGACTTCTCAATCCAAATCTCTGATCTTGTTCTGAGTCATTCTTGCAGTATGTATGTGGTCTCGCATCGTCATACTACAGAATGACCCATTTTTTGTTGATAGTGCTGGATGTTTTTAAATGAGAGCCTGGTGCAAATGGTCCAACTGTTGACAATAGGTGCAAACGGTCCAACTGTTCACAACAAAGGTTTGCAGTTGCAGTCTGATTCGATTTCAGTAACTCAAAGTGAATCATGCCAACTCTCTTTGACCAAATGATCAACAAGACTTCCTGTGGGTGTAGACCTGGTTTGGCTGTCGGAATTGGGTTCAGGTCAGGGCCAAGCCACTGATTCTTGCACTTGGTGTTGACATAAAGAACCCTTTCTCATGTCTGGTTATTATGTCTCATGTCTTCAGTAACTCAAAGTGAATCATGCCAACTCTCTTCGACCAAATGATCAATAAGACTTCCTGTGGGTGTAGACCTGGTTTGGCTGTCAGAATTGGGTTCAGGTCAGGGCCAAGCCACTGATTCTTGCACTTGGTGTTGACATAAAGAACCCTTTCTCATGTCTGGTTATCGATGAATTAAAAATTGTTATACACTGTGCTTTGTTGTCATCTGACAGTTTGTGTGGAACCCAAACTCCTTGTCTATTGACCTTCCCGATCTGTTTAATATGTTCTTGAATGCCAGACCAAGAAGATCTAAGTTTTTCTTACAATTGTTAGATGATTTAATGGGGGTCTTACTCAGCCTCTGACCTCAGGAGGTCATTGTCCAACTCTACTGGTCTCCCTGAACGACAGCAATCTGAGAAATCAAAATCACCTGACCTAAATTTCTGAACCACCGCTGGCCTTTGCAGACACTCTAAGCATCTTTATAAACCCCCCCCAAATGTTTATGGTTGCCTCCATTGCTTTGTTAACTTTATGAAACTCTTAGAACATGCAATGTTGGATGTGATTCTTGTTAGGAATGTGGTCAATCATTATTTACTGATTAGAAGAAAACTATTTTTGTTGACAGGAAATTGATAAACAAGAAAGGTTCTTTTGCCTGCTGAATCAAATTCACCCGAAAAGAAACTAAATCACATAATTAGAAACGTTTGAATTTAAGGTCACAAAAACGGCATTACTTTCTGGTACCCCTAATATGTAACTTGGTAATTTTTGCTACAGTTTGTTCTGGTAATTTTATTTAGTGTTTAGCTTACTTAGAATTGATATGTAATTTTAATAAAGCTTCAAAATATCATTGTATGAAACAGCTTTGAAACAAGCTGTACAACTGATAAGAGAAATATCTCTGCATTACTTTTACAAACAAATCAGGCTAAACTTTTGTTTTTATGAATTTTTAACTTTCAAAACCAAAGGCTTTGAACAAACTCCACGATTGATCCTTTTGCAAGTCTTAGTTTGCCTTCAGTTAAATACTTTTGGAACGAATGCATCACAAAGAAAATAACTGCAGGTAATGAAAACAAGAGACTTATTCCCCAAAAATAACCTACTTGTTTGAGAAGTTAAAACATAAATTGTATATTTGATTATCGTACATAAGGTATTATGTCTCAGTATTTTAATTGATAATATTTTGATTATTTATTTTTACTTTATTTAGCAGCTCATTACCATAACTATTTTTCTTTTTTTTTTACTTCTAGTTTGTCATGAAGAGGTTGTAAAGATGGTCAATATGGCATACAGACATGATGTAGTAATAATTCCTTTTGGAGGTAAATACATTTTAAAAGATTTAAGACTATTTCATGTATTACATAAAAACAGCATTTTAGGTTAACTTTTTGATGTGATGGTCTAGCTCAACTTACAAATTCTGGAATCAAATAAAAAGCTTTACCTTTATAAAAGATTGATTTAAAATGCTTGATTTGAATATAATGCAAAGAAAGAAAGAAAACATTTGGAGTCAGTATTTGTTTTAATTCAACTTGATAACAAAAAAAAAGACATCAAGATTGTATATCTTTATACCAGAAAACAGTATTTGATGCATAAAGTAACTTCAAACTGAACGTAGATGATTGTACTGTAGTGTGATGAAAATGTATTCTGATGTTATTTTATTACTGTTTATAACCATATGACAAACAAAAGTGTTTCTTTAATTAGATAAAACAAATAAGGAATAGTTTAAAAATTGGTCCATCGTAAACACGCATAGAAAATCTGGATATTTGGGGTGGGGGATATGGTTAAAAAAGCGATAAGACAAAGCTTTATAAAGTTAACTGACCACATTTGAATGTTTTACTTTTAAATTACACAACTTTTATTTCATTAAAACTTGGCAAACGATAGTGAAAGCTAGTCCAAAAGACAAAAGAACTCTTTGAAAATATGTTTTTAGGTTTTGTACCATTTAATAGTGGTAAGTTTGTTACCAATAATCAAATTAAACAGATTTAGTAATGAAAATAAATTCTACTAGGTGGAACTAGTGTTTCAGGAGCATTAGAGTGTCCAGCAGATGAGAGAAGAATGATAGTTTCCTTGGATACGTCTCAAATGGTACTTTATCTCATATGTTCATAGAAACATAATAGAATGTTTTGTTTGTATATGTGATCTAGTTGAATTATTCAGTTTTATTAGTAGTATCCTTACACCCGGTGTAAGAATTCATGTAATAATAATAATGTATATTTTACAGAAGTACAAAGTTTTTATATACATTGTTACATGTTGCATATTTAACATTAATAATAAAAAAATTGAAACTAACAGAAAATTTTCTATAAAAACTAGATTTTTTTTTTAATTGAATAAGCCGGCAGAACTGTACAGACTTTATTAAATTGTTCTACTTGTAATATGCTCCCCAGTGGCTCGGTCGTAAGTCTGTAGGCTTATAATGCTAAAAACTGGGTTCTGATATCCATGATGGACACAACACAGATAGCCCATTGTGTAGATTTGCTTAACTACAGATAAACAAACCTGTAACAAAAAAATAAACTTTGCTTTTCTTTTTAATATTCCATTTCACAATTGTGATTTAAGTTAATGATGTTTGCTTGATTTCATTCTTATATTGTAAGGTTCTTCAATTCATGGTTCTTCAGTGAGTGAATATTCAAGGTTATTACTTTTATTTCTCTAGAATAAGATAATATGGGTGGATAAAGAGAACCTCTTAGCCCACATCGAGGCTGGGATTATTGGAGAGGACTTGGATAAGAAGGTAGGTGATAATATAAATCAAGTTCTAATCGTATTTGACAGTTATTTTCTATTGTGTTTCTTTTCTTATGAACTTGATTTAGGGTGTCTACCAATGACGTTGAAACAAAGGTGCGTAGCATTGTGGAATATTAAGAGATGCTTGCTATTAATATGTACTCGTTTAATTTTTTGGGTAAGCAAACATTTCAAGATATTTCCCAGTTTGTTCTATTGGCTGGAAGCATGTTAATTAAAAAAAAAAATTGTACTATTGTAATCATTCGTCATCTTGCAATAAAGTGGTTAGCGTGTTGGACTGTGGATCTGAGTTTCCATGATTTATGCTACTAAAAAGAACTTGCTCCAAATAATGGATGAATTATAAGAGGGATGACCAAACACAAACAAATAATTCTGCATTAGTCTCTATCAGGACTGAAAGCAAGGAAAAAAACACTATTTCTAAGAGAGGTTTTGATTATTTTGTATGTGAACTAAAAAATTAACTAAAGGTGGAGAAATAGAATGAAATAGTGCAAGTTTTAGAATTTCTAATTGTAAACTTGTGTTACCTTTTAAGAATGGGCTGAGCATGCCTTGTAGTTAGCTTGCGAGGATATGGAGCTGAGGTTCCATAGTTTGCGTAACATTACTACCAAAAAAAAAACATGCTCCACATTTTGTATAAGGTTAATGGTAAAATTCTACTATTTGATCTGACAAGAGTAGCGATAATTAGCTGCCTTTCTCTAGTATATCACTTCAAAATTAAGGACTTCTAGTGCAGATTACCATAAATGTAGCTTTGAATGAAAACAAAGTAGTCAAGTAATAATTTATTCTGGTACTAAACTCATGGAATAAATTACACTAGAAAGATTGGAATCAAAAATCCAAAGTTTAAATCTTTTTCTTTTGTATTTTTTTTAATCTAGATGTTTTTTTACTTTTTTCAAAAGCTATTTTTGATCAGTTTTTCTTCTTGTAAATCGACGATGGTTTAATACGAACATGACCTAACACAGCGAAATGAAACTTGATACAGTTAAATCCAAAATATCTAACTAAGCCTAACTCGTCTTGTTTGATGATTTCTTATGCTGTAACATCATAATTAAAGTGAAGCATAAAATGACAAAGCAAGCCTAAAAAACAAAAGAAGACTGTAATTCTGACAGAAGTTGTTCACAAACATCTGTTCTATCAACAACATACTACAGCGTAGTTTACAAAGATGTTTAGTAAGAAGAAATTTCAAATCTACCAAGAATATCTTTAGCAACATTCTGTTTTCCTTAGCTTGCTGAGTATGGTCTCTGTACCGGCCACGAACCTGACTCGTACGAGTTCAGCTCGTTAGGAGGCTGGGTGGCCACGAGGGCATCTGGAATGAAGAAGAATGTTTATGGGAACATAGAAGATATGGTAGTTCATATAAAAATGGTTACATCTCTTGGTGTCCTGGAGAAAAACTGCAATGTAAGATTATGTTTTGGCTTTCTGAACTCATTTTACTTTTTTATACATGAACATACATTGTATTTTTTAACACAGAAGTTATGTAAATTTGAACAAACTGATTTTTTTGTCATTTAAGAATCTAATGTAATCATTATATATATATATATATATACACTATAACACGGCAGTTTAAAGTCACAGTTTAAAGCTTGATATTTGGTCGATATACACAGTAAATGTAAAAGGTGAAAGTGTTCTTTCCATTACAGATTGGATGGTAAGTTGTTTAAAAAGCTGATTTTAGATGTTCACTGTGTTAGTTGATGATCCCAGTTCCTAGGCCTATCTCCTTTGAATATTCTCCACCCAGTTCCTAGGCCTATCTCCTTTGAATATTCTCCACCCAGTTCCTAGGCCTATCTCCTTTGAATATTCTCCACCCAGTTCCTAGGCCTATCTCCTTTGAATATTCTCCACCCAGTCCCTAGGCCTATCTCCTTTGAATATTCTCCACCCAGTTCCTAGGCCTATCTCCAAGTGTATACATGTGTGGAAAGAATCTTTGGATAAAGTTTTTAATATTACGTTTTCTAAAAGTATAAGAAAACTGTTATTCGTGTTTTTAAGGGACTTCAACTAAAGTATCGTTGTTCCCCACATCAAAACTGTGTATATCTGAATGTCGAATTCTACGGGTTCAGAGATACGTCGTATTGAAACAACAAAAATTATGTTGTGCGAGATTGAAATGTGAAATATATCATTACTGTCTCCCATTGTGGTAAATCTGAGGGATTATAATGCTAAAAACTAGGTTTAGATACCCATAGTGGGCAAAGTACAGATAGACCATTGTGTGCTTTTGTGCTTAACAAAGAATTAAACGTAATCTTCTATTATATTATCAACTTAATCTGAGAGAAGGTGGAAACATCCAAAATTGGTGATGGAAAATTCTTTGAACCCTAATTGTTAAACACAGAAGACTAGAAAAATTAAACGTTTACCACTGTCCCAACTCTCTGGAGTTGTTGTTTTTGTTTTTAAAACTTGGAAATGGGTAAATTATATGTTATTAATATCTTTAAAAAACACTTGCAGTATAACAGATCAATCTCTTTAAAACTGTTTTTCATATCATGACATTAAGAATGTTTCATACTGTGCTTTGATCTCTTCTTGATTTCAAACTTGTAGCAAGTTGTAAGAAAAGTTTCTGTTATAGAAAGTTACGAATGGCTAAATGGTTGACTACCCAGTTTATTTCTTGCTGTTTCAAACTTCATGCTTTTGTAAAAGTGTCTGAGCAGGCTTTTTATTGGTATCAACACCATACTCAAAATCAATCACCTATATTGATTGTTGTAATTTGATGAGAACCTTTACTTTACACCCGTACCCAGACATGTTAAGATTAATTATCATGGCATATCTCTGTATTCTATATTTGTTTGTGTGTAGTTATGTGATGTGTTGATCTAAGTAAGTTGGATTCTCACCTTCTGTACAGGTACCTCGAATTTCGTGTGGTCCTGATATTCATCATTTTATCCTGGGTTCGGAAGGTAAGATATTTCTGCACACACAATCATAAACAGATTTATTGACATAGCAGTTTTGGTTTACGGAAACAATTTCTTCGTGCTCTACTGAAAGAGAAACTTTGCAAGTGAGAGCAAACATCGAAAACATTGATGTCATACATGTACTTTTTGAATAGTAGGCTTTTCCTGACATTTTGTTTAATACAAATTAATCGATGACAAAGAGCACTTGTCTTCCATCAACTAAGACTACACGGAGTCTCCATTCGGCAAATCTGACTTCATTAATTTTGATATCACGTTCCAGTAGTTTTCTGTAATTATATATTACTTATTGAAATTCATAATAGATTTAATTCTATTTATACGTTTTTTCAAAGTAATTGATTAAGAACTACGAGTTTGGTCATTCTGGCATTTTTTAACATTAGTGGAAAATGACCATAAACAGCAAGTAATGTGTATCTGATGACTTTTTAACGATAATTATGTATTAGTAAAGAATGTTAAGAAGTTAAATTTCTGTTGTTTTTTTGTAGTGTGTACATGTTTCTGTTCTAAATCTATTTTATAACAGATTTGACAGAACCTAACCATTGGCTTTGGTGGCTTAATGGTCAACTTAGTTTGCCTTTCTTTGTTTTGACAATAAGAAACATGAAAATAAAATGTATTAAAAATAACTTATGAAATACCTTGATGTTGACACATAAATAACTTGAACAAATTTTGGTATGCCATTCATGATGATGGACTTGAGTAATATGTATGAGTTAGCATAAATAAATAATCAGTTGTTGAATTTGATGTTAAAAACAATTAATTAGTCTTCAATAGCTAAGTAATTGAACATATGTAATAACTTTACATTTTAAATTCTTTTTCTCTAAAAATAACTAGCACAACATTTTATTGTTGTTTCTTTTACAGGGTGGTAGCACAATGAAAATGTATCTTTTTTTTACAGGGTGGTAGCACAATGAAAATGTATCTTTTTTTTACAGGGTGGTA